GGCGGCCATATTTGATCCCCACCGCGGCGTACTGCTCGTGGCGCCGCGAAGAGAGAGAGGAGGCTCCATTAGTTCTAAATTCCTTGATTTTAACTCAACCTTCTTATCCAGTCGTTCTTCTTTTTGGTCAATTCAAAAGTATCATCGTCTTCATTTCAAGATCTAGCACATCTTTGTTCCGATTCAATGTAATATTGACAATACTGATATCATTTACGTACTCATTTCAAAAGATATGTTCTTTTATTTTTTTAAAAATACTGCTTGACAAGCTCTAAAATATGCTAAATAAACCTTTAAAGCAAAAAATTGACCCGTCTCTATTTTTCTGGGAGATTCTTTTTATGTTTACGAACAGAAACAAAACACGATAAATTTCAGTTTCCGTTTTCGGTTTCTTCTTCTCCAAATTTCGTCATTCTGTCTGAGTACTCTGAGCGAGCATGTTTACTACTTGAAGGAAAAGATGCTTACATTTTGTCCTGTTTGTGCTAACGTCCTGATTGTGGAGGAAGGACCTAAGTGTATGCGATTTGCATGCAATTCCTGTCCTTATGTTCAAAACATTACAAAAACGGTGAGTGTTTACACTACTGTCCTCTTTTCTCTTCTGATCTTCTGCACTTCTGGCTTCTGGGCAATCTGGGCCTCTGCCTCTGGCTCTGGCGCTATCACTTTCACTTTCGGCCAGCTCTAAAAATCTAGATGATCAGATCTAGATCTAGATTTTTCTAGATATCTAGATCTAGATCTCGGTATTCGGACTCGAGTCCGATTAGATTTTTTTGTACTAGATCTGGGTCCCATTTGGGTATTTTGACCCCTCCAACTCCAATTATTACACTGATGCCAACCACAGTACGATTTTACGTATTTTAAAATTAGAACGATTTTTTGACGAAAATACACGAATATGACTTTTCATGAAAAAATACGCATCCTGGAATGCGAAAAATACGAGATTCAGCTTGGGCGAGTAAACCTAATTTAACTAATTATTTCAAGTCCCATCTTTTAAACTTAAAGGCTGATGTTAGGGGACCGTACGCCCCAATGAATAGCGCTTGGCGCTAGGGGACCGTACGCCCCTATAGTGTTTGGCGCTAGGGGACCGTATGTCCTACCTGCGCTAAGGCGTGGTGTTACGGGACCGTAGGCAGATATGCATGCATCTGGACTTTGCAAAAATACTGGAGGAAAATGGCCAGTTTAACGAAGCTCCTGACGTAAGGAGTTATTACTAGGAGAATGTTTAAAATGTCTGAAAACGATTGTGAGGTATCTAGATCTAATGGCCGTGGGTGAACTGGTAAATTTTTACTTTCACTCCCGCACACAGATGCACTGTTTCAGGGGTCAAACTGCTGTACTGTTTGCTGCAGATCACACATAAAGCCACTAAAACTGTCGCAAATCAATTATTTTCAAGACAATTTCAAATCTAACTGTAAAATATCAAATTATGGGTGTAAAAACAGGGGGGCATGCTCCCCTGTAACCCCCCAGATTTTCTTTTACCCCAGTGGGGCAGGCCCCCCTGGAACCCCCCGATTGGTCCAAAGCATGTCTATCTCGGTTAAAAACAATCAAATATTTCAAAAACCATTAATTTGCGACGGAAATGAAGTTGATATTCGTGTTCAGCGCATCAATATTTAGTAGAAAATAGACAACTGGTAGCTGAGTGTGAGACGGGAGGGAAAGTAAAAAAATACCGGTGAACCAAAATTTGAAATTTGCTCACGTCTGCACCCACGTTGTTTGTTATGTGTGTCAATAAAAGAAATCAAAGAGAGGGAGGGAGAGAGAGAGAGAGAGAGAGAGAGAGAGAGAGAGAGAGAGAGAGAGAGAGTGTGTGTGTGTGAGAGAGAGAGAGAAACAGACAGAAAGGTAGTGAGAAAGAAAAAAAAGAAAGAAAGTAAAAAGGAGCGGGAGAGAGAGAGAGGGGGGGAGACAAAGTGTGAGTATGTGTGTGTGTTTGTGTGTGTGTTAGAGAGAGAGATGGGGAGGGGTCATGAGAGAGAGAGAGAGATGAACAAATTTACACAAACGCCAGAAATTTACTCACTTTTGCATGAGAGAACACGCTTGAGCACGCACACAGTTGTGATAGCGCGCAAGACGCAAGATCAACTCACATTCAGTGACAATAACAATAACATGAAAAGAAAGGGGGGAAAAGGACAGCTTGGAAAAGGTAGATGAAGAGCAAAGCAAACTATTGTAGAGACTTGACAGAAAGTCGGGTTGTGAACTAAGCACCGACGAATTAAAGTTTATTTGCAAGCGCATTACACATAATATTATACGCCTGTCCACATTAATAATAACTGGACTACTTTTGCGCGCAGGTGTCGTGTAACTATAGAGCGGTCAAAAATTTGTGGTGCAACTTTTCCTCAAATATCTCTTTTAACGGGAGAATCATTGTCACCCATACTTTGCACAGCAGTTTGTATTAAAAAACGCAGTGGCTATTTTTACGGCGAGCCGTAAAGATAGCCTCCCAGGCTATTTTTACGGCGTGCTGTAAAGATAGCCTCTCAGTGAGTCCCAGGCTATTTTTACGGCGATCCTCGAAAAGCGACCCTACTCCGCCTCTCATGTACGCGACATGCCTCAAAGTATTAGATCTAGGCCTATAGGGGCCGTTCAAAATATAAACTTACACCTCAGAGGGGAAAGGGTGTCTTTGGCTTCTGTAAGAAAAGTGTAAGATTGGGTGAGGAGGTTAACCAAATATGACACTTCTGTGAGATGAACGTTTTGCTCATGACTGGGAAGAAAAGGTAAAAGAAAAAGACAAGTGGATAAATGCCAGTAACAAGACCCAGATCTGCATGATCACTGCAGATCCTCGTTGTTGTTTTGTTTTGTTTTTTTGTTTTTTTTTGGGGGGGGGGTTGTTTTTTTTAGGGGAGGGGGGGGTTACAAATAATTTTGAAATTATGATGAAAATTCTGTAGGTGGACATCTAATTTCTTAATGCCATCGAGCATTGTCGCGCAATACTAAGCACTATTTTAGTGTGTGCGACCCATATAGATCTAAGTTTTGTTTAGATCTAATCTTGGGAAAGTCCGTCTTCTAAACAAGTGAGGCTTCCGTTCACTAGCCGTCCGTACTGTTCCTCAATGACTCGATTTTTAAAGTTTCTTTCATCGAAAGGGGGCCCAGCTAGTTTTGTATATAATGATGAGAGGAAAATATATAATAATAATAGATTGAAATACTTTTAAAGTCAAACAAGACCCCTGTACGACATTGAACACTGACATGTTGACTGCATACATGTATATTGTACGCATGTGTGCTCCCTTTTTCGAGCTGGTGAGCTGGTGAAAAAAATGTATTTTTTATTTCACAAAACCTCTTTTTTAAAGTGTATGTATCCATTGATGCTTACAAAGTGGCAACAAAATGGTTGGTATTTTCATTAGCCACCCCCCCCCCCCCCCCCTCCCTTTAAAGTAGGGATAGGGGAATGGAAAATTACGAAGCAGACTTTTGAAATACATATGTGATCATCTTAACCTGATTTTTGTCGTCTTTTTAGTACGCTTTACTGGCAAGCTGGTGAGGTGCTGTATGTGTCAGGTTTCCCAACCACCTGATTGCCTTGATAGTCGAAGCAGACTTTGTGCTGTTGAAGCAACAGAGGTGAGCAGAGTAAGTCTTGATTCCCTGTAAGGACTTCTCTGTTGACATCCACCCCTTGGCGCTCATATGACCTTATGCTGTTGCGAGCGCCGTAAAACCTCTACTAAAACAAACAAACACCCCTGATCTTCTGGTAGGAAAGATGTGCACCTAGCGTTCTTGGACAAGGACGAAAAATCTCGGAGGTCACGTTGCACATGTTAAAGATCCCTGGGTGGTCTAAAATCTATAACAGTAGGCTTCAGCCGCCACAAACGTCAGCCAAAATTCAAAATTTCCTACATGTCCCGCTCGCTCATATGACCTCTTACGCAGTTGCAAGCACCGTAAAAAAAATTTTAAAAAACAAAAAAACTTTAACCTAAAATATGTATGTCCCCACTCCGCAGATCACACACAAGGTGTATCCAAGGTTGAAAGAAGTGGATGATGTTCTAGGGGGAGCGGCAGCCTGGGAGAATGTGGACTCTACTGAAGGTGAGGGCCTGGTCTGTCTTATCCAGGACCAGTCACTCCTCTTGTGGACTCTTCTACTGGGTTTTGGGGTTGTTGTTTTTTTTTTTTTGGGGGGGGGGGGAGTTTGACTCTGTGAGGGATCCTGTCACTGTGGTGGATAGTCAAATGACATTGTCTGTACCATATGTCTTGTCGTCTGATTCCATTCCACCTGGTTCTTCTGTCTTTCTGTTTCCTTTTTTTCCCCTTTTGTCTGTCACTCTTATCTTAACACTTATCTCAAGAGTTTCAGTTGTATCTGTTGTCGTTATCACAACTCTTTTTTGCGGATGGTTGGCATATGCTCTGATGTGGTTTGTTCCTTCCTTTTTTCCCCCTTATACATGATATATCATTTTAATTTCTACTCCTTTGTGAGTTGTTGGCAGGTGCTCTGATGTAGTTTGCTTATTCTTTCCAATTAAATCTATGTTCTATTGTCCTGATCTCTCCTCCTTCTGTTTTGTATTCATTACCCTCTTGTGACACCTCTGATCTTTGGTGACTCTGATAGGACCTGTTTGTGTTGCAGGTGCCGTAAAACTTTTACTTTTGTACTGAACCTAATTTGTCTTTTTTTTCTTCTCCTCAGTGGTATGTCCCAAGTGCGAGCACAAGAGAGCTTTCTTCATGCAGCTGCAGACAAGGTCAGCTGATGAGCCCATGACCACCTTCTACAAATGTTGTAACATGGACTGTGCTCACAGGTGGAGAGACTGAGGCTGTGTGTGTGTGTGTGTGTGTGTGTGTGTG